TCTTTTTTTTTTTTTTTTTTTTTCGCTGAATGGCTCGGGGCTAGTAGCTCGCTGTCATGAGTGGTCGATTCATTCATTCCAAGACAAGACTGGAGACCGCGACCGGAATGGCCTCGCTTGTTGTCCACTGTTTCGGGGCATGTCCGATATCGATCGATACCTAGTATCTCCAACAACATCAAGACATCCTACTGTCTGCGACCCAAAGGCGTGGCTGACTTGGTAGCCTGTGTAATGGGTCGGTGGCATGCAATATCCCCCAGATCACACACAACCACATTAGGAAGGTGCTTTTGCTCGTAACGAGGATGAGTCTGATGAAGCCTCCCTCCCGCGCTTGGTGTAACGTGCTTTCGTCCATCCGTGGCTCGTGGCCCTTCCCAATCCGGCGTGTTTCGCTTGCTGCTGGCCAATCAGCAATTTCCCGGCTCGCTTGTTTCCAATTTCCCTTCCTCGTTCTCAGACTGACACACTGACACTCTGTCCGTCCTATCCCCGCCCCCCACTGGGCTACCATACCAAGTAGGTATCGACTCACCAGTTACCTCACCGGTCGCTGAACTATTAGGTCTACACCATTTCTACCATTCATAGGTAGGTAACCTCCAAACTTCAATTCTTTGTTCTCCCCCACCACGTTTTTGTCCCGGCCCGACCCTGTGGTTTCGCTTGCTACTCACTCCCTTGGCATCCTCTTAGCCACATGCATCGTGCCGGATCGTCCAGTTGACGTCGTCTCATAGCGAGGTGGCGTCGACAACGAATCCGCCGCCTCTCCTGCCCAGCCATCAAGGAATCCCCAAGGGCTTTCAAGCGAAAACAGGTCGAGGTACGGTACACGTACATATTATTAGCAAGTAGCTGGCCATGGGTTGGGCTTCTAGGGCGTCGTTCAACTTGTCAGCCGCACCCGAGCGGATATGAGCAAGGACTGGACTTTCACCGTCCTCATCTCATCGTGTTACATACGTACCGACGCCATGGTGGTCTAGGGACTCCGGCACTCCGGGTTTTCTTATAACCATTTCCCGTCGATATTGTGCGCCGAAACTCTTCGCTCTCGCTACTCTCCACGCCTCATTCGTCACTTCAACACTAGTGCTCCACCAGAACTGTGCTTGGCGATGCTCCGTCTATCATCACCTTCCGGCACTCCTCTAAAGTGCTCACTGGCGTTGTGATCGCCCCCCACCAGTTTACCTAGACTACTTGTCACGGCCCCCAAACTTTCAAGTTCAAAAAGGCTCGGTGTAGTCCGTAGAGGTATCCTCTCATGCTCCTCCAAGCACGCTCGTATTCATACTGTACAACACATAGACTTACACTACAAGACAGGTATGCGGAATGGGATTTCCATGTATCGGCGGGATTGCCATCCTCTCTACACACTATGTCTGATACCAGGTAAAGGGTCCAGCGAATAATGAACCTCTGCTAGTCAGTCCAGCAGTCCATTCTGGGTCCTTCCTCGTCCGGGCCGCATCCCCTATGCGGAACGGCCTGGTACCTGTAGGACTTCTCCAACCCATCCTGATCCTGGCCTGTTACCGAGCTGACGGGCAAATGGGGTACATATGGGTCTTGTCCGTAAAGAGCATGTGTAAACGGATTGTGTCTCAGCTTCACGCCTACCTTTATCTAAGTGGGCAGCTAAAAGCCCAAAGAAGCCTGTTTCCTTCCTTCATCCTCCAAGTTCCTATCCTCGCGGTGGTCAATCATACTAAAAGGCAAAGGAGAAGAAAAAGGGAAAAAAGAGAAAAAAAGAGATGGCACGCTGACAAGATACTCGTGCCAGAGCACCTGTAACCCAATGGTTTGAAACGAAAAAAAAGAGGCTGAACAGACAACGGTTGAACTCCTCTCCCATCTTTAGCAGCATCGGATATCATCACATACCGTCTCGATCTACAATACCAATTGCCGGCCAGTTGCTGAGTTTTAGTACACAGAGATCCAACATGCTTGGCTAGCTCTGTCGATGCCCATCATCGAACGGAAATTTCCGCCCCCTTTCCCAATTACAACAAGCCTCAAAGTACCACAGTACCCTCCAGTCTCTATGTACATCTCCACACATCACAAGTAGGGTACAAGTACTCAGGCTCCAAGTAGTCACCCAGCTGCGAGGGTCCTAAAGGGATCCTTTTGGCCGCATTGTTCTTGGATCAAGAGAGATATGACACTGTCTTGTGAAAGTCGTCCCCTCCGTCGACCTTTCAAATCACATCTTTCCTATTCACAACCTCTTACTCCTAGGACATATCCTTCCCTACAGTCTTACTATGTGTCGACAACCGTCGAAACAATCGGTACAGGCTGCCCTCAGCGCGACCATACCCAGTCACGTAAAGGTCGATAGCTTGCGACCCATTGCTTCCCTTCGACCACAAAGGATATTCGAAGTCAGTCTTTCTGACGGCAAAACACTCCTCCTTTCACTCCCGCCACAAGTACTCTTCAGACGCCTGAGGCACGAACAATTCATAATAGGCTTCGAAGCGGCAACAGTTCAATGGATCAGGGATGTTCTTACCAGAAACCATTTGACTAGCTTTACAAGCCCAACACTTCAGAGATTCCTCCCGGCCCTCGTGCATACTTCAAGTCACGGTCCGGTCGAGCTAGAGTCAGCCTACAACGTCTTCGAGAATCAACATGGCATTCCTGTTGCCTTGTTGCCTTCTCCCCTCAGCCACTTGGAGCGTAAACGTTTGGATAAGCATCTCGGCCAACTTTACCGATCCCTCTCGTCAATGACCTCACCGTCGGGCAGGTTCGGCCCCGTGGCGGTCGTCGTCCCTAAAATGCCAGGAATAGAGCTTTCGGACAAGGTGGCCGGGCTTGGAGAAGGCAGCTTGGTGGCAGCCGACGGAGCAAGGAATTGGTCAACTGCCTTTCAGTCGTTATTGGAGGGTGTTCTAAGAGACGGCGAAGACATGGCGGTCACAATGGCTTACTCGCAGATACGAAGACATTTCAGGCGGTTTGAGCACTTGCTCAACGAGGTCAAGACGCCGAGATTAGTGGTTATTGACGTGGCTGATGACACAAACACCTTGGTCACCGTGGAGAGCACGACAAGTACAAACGGCTATAGCAACTACACGACAGCACCACAACCAGCATCATCCGCGTCAAACAACTACATCGGTACAGAACGACGACTAACGCTTACCGGCCTTCAAGATTGGAGTAACTGCGTCTTTGGCGATCCACTATTAGCTACCATCTTCAGCGACGGCGCCTCGGAATCCTTCATGGAAGGTTTCGAAACCGGTCCTGCCTCTACCCATGCGAACCATCTCGGGGGCAGCAGTAGAAACACAAGTGCCAGCACCCACAGCACCAGCACAGGAGTCATGTCCATCACAGCCATCACCGAACAAACCACCACTACTCGTGCACCTGCACCAACAATATCCAGCCTTCCGCCACCAACAGATGCCAGCAGCAACAGCAACAACGATATAATCTCCTCGCTGATCGAAGACCTCCCCAACGCCGGCATTCGCCTCCTCCTCTACCAAGTCTACCACGCCGCGCTCTGCATTGTCAAAGAGTTCTATCGACCTCGATCGTCACCTTCCCCCTCTACTGCTACCTGCTCCTCTCCTCCTTCTCCTTCATCCTTCTCCAGCTCTCCAAGTACCAACAGAGAGCTCGAAGCTCGGAGAAAACTCACCGAGGCGCTGAATAGGTTGGAGAGTGCTGCTGTGCCGGTGGTTACACCGATCTCGATCTTGTCTGTACCTGTACCATTTTCCCTCAAGAAGCAAAACCCCCTCGCAAGCAATAGCTGCTCCTCACCGGTAGCCGGTGCTAGGTCGTTATTATTTGGCGTGCAGGAGAGTACTATTGGTAGTAGTAGTAGCAGTAGGAGTAGGGATGATGTGCTGGCGAACAAGAAGCTACATCATCGACCGACTGGAGATATGAGTCCTGCGAAGAGGGCGAAGAGTGCTAGTGATGGGGAGAGGGGGTAGTGACTGGGCTAATCAGGACTTCCGGAATGAAATAAGCTGGGGAGAGGGCGAAGAAGGCACAGACTCCCGGGGATGGATGAATAGATGGATACCAGGAAGAGAAGGAATACGGGACAAAGTTTGAATGGGATAGGCCGGTCTGGATGGAGTCCGCATTCGCGCAGTTGGTTGCGTTTAGGAAAGTGGAACATTCCTAATTCAGCAAAAAGTATAGAGAGAGAGCATTGCATAAGATACGGATTGGATAGAAATATGGAAAGGTACATATATGAAACAACCCGTTTAAAATACTGCAACACTCTTGTTCGTTTTCAAGGCATGAACGCACGGAAACAGAAACACTGATTCAGCATGATTTCAAGTCTTTTCATTAATCCTTTTCCTTGCCGCCCGCCCTTTCTGCCCTCCTATCATATCCTATTCCGTTCATTTTCGTGAGTTGTGATAATTGTTCGTTCCCCATAAAGACAGAAAACGCCATGCTATGTTCTTAGTCTACAGAAAAACACATAAGTGGATGTAGAGTAGTGGTAGTGATTCGTTACAAAAAAAAAAAAGAGAAAAAAGAAAACACGAAAACCAGACCTCCATCCCTAGAACCCGATCTCTCTCATCTTCTTTTCCATCGTTTATTTTTTGATTTGCTTCCTTCAGCTGTTCAACAGCCCACTTCATGCCATGCGCGGCCATGGCCAGCCGACCAGAGCATACCGTGCCACCCAGCATGTGTTCACTCTTCATTTCAGTTGTTTCTCTGAGACTCCCTGCATGATTCTCTTTCCTCCGCCTTCCTCCCTTCATGTCCGACCCCTTTTCGTTTCTTGCCACCTTCCATTCCTTACTCCTTCTTGTCTTCTGATTTTCATAAAGGTGATCATTGGTACTTCAGCAACCGCCCATCCTTACCCTCCACATATTCCACCCCAAGCATCTGCGTCGAAAACGCGCAGAACCGATCCTTGATAGCCACGACCTCGTATGCACCTTCCTGGCTGGCCTTGATGACCTTGCTATACTCTTCGCTGATATCGTGCTTGGTCTCCAACACCGTCGCACGCTCACCCTTCTTCTTGGGGTTGGTGCTGCGAGTATACGTGAACTCGAACGGAGGGGTTCCGTAGAACTCGAAAAGAATCTCGACCTCGCCACCCTCGTGGATGTCCGTCTGCACCTGCTTACCCTTGGAAATACGGGCCGCGGGGAGAGGGTGAATAGTCTTGGAGATGTTGACAGGAGCGCGGCACTCGGATGCCCTGTCACTAACCGAGGTAATCGTGAACTCACCGGGGTGCTCGGCGATACGGCGGAAAGTCGTGGTGGGAGATTTGGCCCTCGACTCCTCGCCGTTGAAGGTATACCAAACCTCGAAGGGAGCGGCACCAGCGAGGGAGTACCCGAGACGTTCGCCGACGCAGTAGTCGGTGCGAGTCTCGAGAGGATAAATGGTGGGCGCCTCAAAGAGCTGGATTTGAACCGAGTGGGCCTTGCCATCGGGAGTATCTCTGTGGGCAGATGTGTAATCGGAGATCGAATGACAGCCGCTGCCGTCGCGAACGCTGCGAATGCGAATCGTTTGGGTTCCAAGGCGCAGCTGGTGACGCGGGATCTGGATCTCGTACGAGTTGGAGTTGATTGCAGGCGTACGGTACACTTCCGGAATCGGACTGCTTTGGTGTCTGATTTCGAACTCAAGGTTGAAGGGAGGGACGCCGTTGAGAGTGATGGGAATCGACTCGGATTCGCCTTGGTCCGTCTTGCAGTACTTGAAGGTTTGACTGGGCTTGGCGAAGGCGGCAGTGGGTTTTTGATTAACCTTCTGCTTAACAGTCACGGGCTTGAAAGTCCGGTCATTAGTGTAGAGGTTATCCGAAAGTGAGTTGAACGTATACGTGTACTGGCCCGCCCTGGAGGTGTCTGCAGGGACGGAAGCTTTGCCGAGGGCAGCTTCAAAATCTTTCCTACTGATGGAGGCTGGCCCAGACGCAGGTTGATGGCGAATCTGGTATTCGACATGGAAGGGAGGCGTTCCTGTGTAGACATTAGCAGGCTGTGGGGAAACCAAGGAATGTGCCTAATGGGGCGGCTTATAGTAGATTTACCTTTGAGAGCAACTTGAAATCCAGATACGTCACCCTCACAGACATCGCTCACAACAAAGCTGTTGGTGCCATCTGGCTGAACGTGCGCAGACTGTACAACGGCGAGCTCTGGACGAGGGAACCAGTCGACTTCAAAAGACGATGCCTTCGGATCAACAATGCCGTGGCATTGTCGATCCCAGACATCTGTGATCTGGAAGATACCCTTGGTGCGAACATCAAGGAAATCATTGTCGTGCTTGATCGTCTTTTCCAGGACCCGGGGGGCGTTTCTCGAGGTGTCATTGACATTGCTGTAGAAAACCTTCCATGGGCCCTCTCCAGTGAGGCGAAGCGGCAGCTTGACCGTCGAGCCCTCAACTGCCATCGTCCTGCGTTTGGCATCGATAAGACCAAACGCTGCTCTTGGGTTCTGGCGGCGCACTGAGATCTTGACCTCATCCTGCACAAAGTTACGGCACGCTCTCTTGTCTTGGACGCTTGTCAACGCCAGAGTATACTCGCCGCCCTTAGCAAGGGAGCCCGTCTTGATCTGATACTTGTTCGTCTGGATATCCTTGACCTTGTACTGCTTTCTCTTGCCGTCATGGATAATCTCCCATTCTAGCGTAAATGGTGCGTCGCCCTGAAGCTGCACATCCACCGAGACATCGTCGTTAAGACAAGCGGCCATGTTACCATTGCTGTGAATGATGCTGGCAGAAGCTGTTGGCTTGACATCTTGTTCGAGGATATACTCGGGCCCGCTGAGCTTTTGAGGTTCGTAGATGGAGTCGCCAATATGTGTGAACACGTACTTGTGATGTCCGGCAATTCTAGGGATGAATTCTTGCTGGAAACGTAGGCCATTAACCTTGATACGCTCCACCGAACGCTGCCCATTGGAAATGACCTCGTATCTGACGTTGAAGGGTGGAGTACCAATGAGGTCCATGTCGACGCGCAAGCCAATGGAATTTCCAGCGCAAGTATCTGGAATCTCCTCGGAGCGCAGCGTGAGCTTGGGCTCGAGAGGGTTCAGCAGCAAGCAAGAAGACGGCTCCTGCACCTCTCCCTCGCATTGTCCGGCAACAACCGACTTGAGGGTATACAAACCAGGCGCAGCGATTCTCGGCCGGTCCCTGGCATTCTTGGCGTCGTAGGTGCCGACAGAAACAACATCCCCATGGTCACCGCTCTTGGTGAGGGTGTCAATCGGCGAGAACAGCCAGCTGATGGTGTACGTAGTGTCATCAGGCACGGGGCCAGGAAGTTCATATCTGATTGGAAGATCTTTGGAACCGCCCCTGGCAACCTTGAGAGGATTTCTAACGTCGCACCCTTCAAGACGCGCACGCGGTCGCTCCTTGACGAAGAGGTTCTGCACCAGATGCTTTGGCCTTGTCTTGGGATCCAAGTCGTCAGCATGGCCGGTGTAGCTAGCAACGTTTCCGAACGCATCATGGACCTCATCGACGGAATACTGCCAGACTCCGCCAGCGTTCATGGATTCATTGAGGTTGACGGGGACCCGTTGAGCTCGAGCCCAGGAGACGTCATCATCCTCAATGAGTCTCGCAAGACTACGCGAAGCACCGAGGAGCGGAGAAGAGAAGCCCTCTGGCTGCAAGCTCTGGATGTTGAAGCTGTGGTCCTTGCCGTTGATGGTGCGGCTATAGATGACTTTTAGTGGCGGCGTGCCATCAACCAAGAGGCTGAGATCAGACAAATCGCCGACACAGCGGTTTGGCGAGGAGACTACCTCGACGCTAGCGCGAGGGCAAGGAACCACAAAGGTGAGGGCAGTCCTGCGATGAACTTCAAGCTTATACTCGTCAAGCGCCTTGCCCAATCGATAGGCACCAGGCTTCTTGACGGGAAAGTTGTACTTAACAGTGAAGATCTCGTCATCTGCGTTCCTCTTGACCTCATTCTTGATTTCCTTGAGCTGGCCTCTTGTCAACTTGATGACTTCGTGTTCGTTGGTCTCGAGGTCGGTGCGGATGATCTCGACATCGATGGGAGTTGTCGCATTAAAGAACAGAGGGATCGAGGCAACCTTGGTGTCCCCTCCGATGCAGTACGGGGTGTTTTCGGGGTTGAGCACCACAGAGCTGGTAAATGGTCAGCTTTGCCGGGCTTTTTCACTAGTGCTCCTACTTCGCATGACTTACCCTTCTGGGAGAATGTTGATAATCTGCCTACCCATGAGGAGGGAGTGGTTGTAGAGGATGCTGGACACCTTGACTTGATGTTCGGTAATGGCAAGCTCCCGGTCGTAGAAGACCTTGACAAATCCGAACAGCCATGTCTGCCACGGGAGGCCGATGTTGAACATGAGCATCCAGTCAACCAAGGCGTGGGCAACAAAGACGAAGACGACGAAGGACTGAGAGAGTTCGAGCCATGGTATCCTAAGCTCTGGTAGGCCAAAGAGATAGATGAGGTCTAGGGCGATCCACTTGAGGAACAGCCAGAAAGACTCGGTATTTTCTTCCACCACTTGAGTCCAGTCGTACAGCTTCCACGCAAAAAGAGCCGCGTAGACGGCAACAGCGTAGAGGCGTTGTGTGGGCGCATCGATAACGTGAAGCGGGATCACAGGCCCTGGGCCTGTTGGTGCTGGTGCATTTCTTTGGGGGGCGACGGGGAGGGCATTGGGCGTTGCCGTCCGGGCGCGATTCGCGGGAGCAGCTTCGGGTCGTCGTGGTCCGGCCATGGGAAAGCCGCCTATAGAGTCCTTGCCTGCCATGGCATGCCGAGTCTGTGAAGGCTTGACGGCTTGGTAGTGGCCACGGGGCGCAACAATGTGCACGTTGTTGTTGTTGTTGTTGTCGTTGTGGTTGTCGTCGTGATCGTCGTAGCTATCGTCGTCGTCGTCGTCGTTGTCGTTGTTATCGGTCGCCGAAGGACGGGAGGAAA